AAGAAAAAGTAAATCATACTCTTTCGCATTTATTGACAAGTTATTTTGTTAATTCTCAGCTTTTATCTGAAAATCTTTTAATTGAACAAATTGAAATAATTCTAAATCAACTTCAATCAACTACATCCAATTCATTTCTTAATATTTTGAATTTAATTCGTGAAATAATTGGTTCGAATATGATTATGAGTGCATGGATCACTAATTGGGAATATGTTCCTCAAAGTGATTTTTCTACTTTTATACTTGCACGTACAGCACCTCTAAGTTATGGTGAATGTAATTGTGGATTATCATTTAAATGTACTCAGTCATCAGGAGATATGATGAGTGGTTGTTATCCACTTGAATCTATTCTTCAAACAAAACTTTACTGTTTTTATGATCAAAATTGTATTGATTCAAATGGAAATTTTACAAGTTTAAATATGTCAACGTTGGAAAAAAGTCAATTTAATTTAGATTCAACAATTGAATCAATTTTAAATAATTTAATGATTGAAGAATATAAAACTAATTTATCATATGAAAATTATTTTAATCAATGTCAACCATTATTATGTTCATATTCTTATATTAAAACTCATGATTTAACTCAAACAATAATATCTCTCATTTCTCTTTATGGTGGATTAGTTATTATAACTCGTTGTTTAACAATTATTTTTGTTAAAATTTATCAACATGAAAAAAACCGAATTAATCCCGAAGCTCTTCAACAAAATATTTAATATATATGTATATCAAGAAAAGAAAAACTAAGAATATTGAAAGAGAAATGAATTAATTTTGTCAAAGCTTTTGATATTGTACTGGAATTATTTAATAAATTTATCAATTATATAAGCATTATATTTTAATAGAGATTTATTAATTGTATAAAATTATTATTTTTAACAGTATACATCAGATTTATGCCACTCAATTCATGAAATAAGTTTAACAGAATTGAATTTGAGGGTGAGAGTGAGAGGTACGTCAAGCAATTACAATACCTTTCAACTTTGTTAATTAGGTCTCATCGAGCAGTTTCGACTGCATGAGAATATGTCAGTTTGTCCACGTAACCTGCTACTTCAGACATTAAGTATTTATTTCAAAATTTTAAATAAATGTTTATGATAAGTTGTAGACCACATCTGAAAGTGTAGAAAAATACGTTTCATTATTCAAAAAATAACTTCCGTGAATCTCTAAAAATGTGTACTTTTAGTATTAATTAGTGTATTGTTTCTTACAGTTTTTTCTATTCTACTTTGAGCCTAACTGTACATCTTGACGTTAAGTTCGGAACTCCCACTTTCAAATATTTTGTAAACTATCAATTACGTCCCTTCTTTTGGCAAAATAATAAACTTTTATCCCATTCTCTACAGTGAGCTATTCGCGAAATAAAACTTGATCAATTTTACTATAACATTGTCACGAAAAAGACCTTATTTTAAAAGGATCAGGATGCATTTTGACTCCTTTTGACTTTTTAGACCAAATCTAATCGAACTATATATAGAATGAAAGACCATGAACTCATGATTCATTTGACATCAAGTTCAAGCTCTTTCTACAACCATTTCAAGTAACTAAATAGAGACAAATCATGATTCATAGCTATTCTAATAGGCTTTTGTTCAGGCTACATTTCCATAATAGAACTAATTATTTGAAACGATGTTTTAGTTTAAAGTAAAGAGTGATTCAAAAGTTTCGATCCCTCTCAGTAAACGAATATTATCTATGACAAACCTACATATATATCATTGATTAAAATATCTATTTTTGTAGAGGAAAAAAGAGCTATCTTTGAAAAAACTAATTCGAAATGCATAAATCTATTACAATGTTATAGTTATTTTACTAATCTTGAATGAATTTTTTCACCTTAAATTTTTTGAGAAAAATAAAAATTTTTCAAAATACTAGGGTGGGTGTGGGTGTTGGTATTGGTCGCGGGTTGAACTAGAGCACCCACACCCACACCCAATGCACACTTCTGTATAAGAATTATCAACCTCATGAGGTCACTCAGGCAGTAAACCTGATGGATTTTTGAAACACCACTTCTATTCTAAAAAGTTGAAGGGTAGGTAATAGTCTGGTGGCGTCTCCAAAATATTTCGATTATTTGTGTTGAAACCATGTTGGGAGTGGTTCCTAATAATATTTCAATGGTTGATTTGACAGCAGGTTTCAATCGAATTTTGAACCACATTTGTACTTCCTCGTGAGGAAGGAGAAAAAATGTTTTGGTCACTTCTCGTGGGGGAGTACGAGTATGGGTTGAAAATCACTTCAAAGCTTTTTCAAAAAGTTTTGGTCAAAATATCAACAGTGCACACTGTACACATTAAATATGATATCTTGAAGAAACTTCGTTCATTGGTTAAGAAATGGTACTCAAAAGGTGAAGTTGTTAGCATCAGACAAAAAATTCACATATTACTCAACAATGTGAATTATTGTGAATCATAGATATCTTTTGTTGGATAACTGCAATCAATTTTATTCTATCTGTGTGAGAAAAAAAAGAGTTTCTTGTATGCACAAAAGCATATGTTAATAATATCTGTTATACGCTGTTGTCGTTAATATTTATTCTTTATATTAAAAGAAATAAAGAATTGTTTGGCAAACTCAGCTAGTTTACCTGGCATCAGTAAAACTTAATATTTTAGAGAATAGCACAAAAGTTTGACATGACACTAGAAGTGTCTTTCTCAGATCGATTGGACAGTCCTACTCGTCGAGTTTCTTCTAGCGATGTCAGTTGAATTGAGGGCAATTTCTCAGGATTTAATTCTTGTTCATTTGACGAAATGGCAACAACTTTTTGTTTAGGTGCTACAGTCGCAAGCGAAGGATTGAAGAGGAGTGCTTTGTTTTCGTACCACATTTGTCCTTCATAAGCAATCCACATACTCAAACCTTGTAAAAAACGTTTCGCATAAACTTTCTCGACCCATTTTTTAGGTAATTTTTCATAACCATAATAAGCACCAGCTAATTGACCATAAATAGCAGCCGTTGTGTCAGTATCATCACCTAAATTCACTGCAGCAAGAGCACCCTTCTTAAAAGTTTTTTCAGACCAAAACGCCCATAAGGCGGCCTCGAGAGCATTGACGATGTATCCTTTGCCTCGAATACCAGCATCGTATCCATCGTTTTGTTTATATGATCCATTGGCGATCCTCATAATTTCTGGAGCTAGCGGGCCTTCAGCAAACCATGATATATGGGTTTCGTAAAATTCGTCATTCAATAATTCTTCTTTTGTGGCGCCCTGTAGAGCGGCTACGATTAGCGCACCGTAATAACGACATGCATCATAGGCTTTTTGATCTCCATGAGTAATCACACCACTAAATCCTGAGTATTTGACAGCATGAACAGGATGTCTATAGAAAAAAAGTGGTACAGGAGTCAAACGCATCAGGGCTCCATTTCCGGCAACACCTGCTCTACTGCATTGCACGTTGAACTCGGCAAGGAGATCAGGGTCGCAAAGAAAGTCTAATTCATCAAACGGAACTTCATGTGTGGCAGAAAATTGTTTCTGGCGACCTTCAAATTCACATAACGAATCCCTAGTAGCTGCACCAATATCGAAACACTCTCCAGTTGAGGACATGTAACCATGTTTATACCACCACTTGTAGCGAACAAGCTGATCGTAAGGAACAAAATCACGACGACAAACCAAGGATGCTGCTAAACAAAGTGCCATGGAGGTATCATCAGTGAACTAAAATAGACATTTTCGGTGAACTTCTATTATTCAATTATGTGATGGGAAGAAAGCAGTATGAACTTTTATAAGAAAATAGTGCCCAAGGCGATATTGTATATCAAAGAAAGTTTCTCTCATCTGAAATCTCAGACAATAGCTTACCTGTCCCTCTTTCAAGCCCCAAGTGCCTCCAGCCTTAAGATCAACTACTGGATTCTGCAAAAGAAATGCTCGTGGTCTAAATTCCACATGAGCACCAAGAGCATCACCCAAAGCCATTCCAACCATCGATCCTTGAATTCGATTCAAGATGTCATAGTTGATATCCTCAGGAGGAAATTGCATATTTTCTTCCAATTCATGTGGTCGTTTAATCAATCCTGTGCCATTTTGGTGATATTGGAGATCGAGCCAAGATTTCTCTGAATATCCAAGTCTCTTTTTAAATATTTCAATTAATAATAAAAAGCTGTCATCCCAATCCCTATAGGATTAGAATGTAAAATATCATGCAACTGCTTTTACTTATCACAAGAAAAGAATTTTTTTTATCAACTTTGAGGTATATGTCTTAACCATCATTTTATACAATCCTTCACGGATGCCGTAATAAGGTATCTCATGAACTATGAAAGGATGCTTTTGATATACAGCTTTCGGACATATATCAACAAAGTCTGTTATGTCTACAAGTGGAGGATCCTCACTTCTACTCTATATCAGAGTTAGAACCGGTCCAGAATTTCAAACCAGTCCGGCCCGGTCGGTCCAAGTTTTAGACTAGTCCAGTCCGACCGGACTAAAAAGCTTCCCAGACCAGTAAAAACAGGCAAAAAGTGACCGATATGTTAGGTTGTTTATGATCGGCTAAAAGAAGAGGCTTCAGAAAACACTCGTTTTCGTATTTTTTTCTCATGTTTTTCTTAATTTTCAAGAAAAAATATGATACCATAGTCCCTTATGTGTGAATTTTACCAAAGATGAATATGCGATGGTTCCCTATGGCGAGAAAAAACACTTACCTACGCGACGCCCTATTGCTAATCTACAAATCTTGAATTTTTCACTTAGGTTTTATAGAGAGAGAACTGATATTTCTGTTTATATGATGATTCAACCTCAAATCTGGTCTGCAATAAAATATCAATGAGATAAGTTCAGAGGTTTATGTCAAGTGACACTGTTTTAGTTGTGCTTTATAGGAAATCAAATAAAGTTTGATTAAAAAAATTAAAATTTTTAAAGAACTTAGAGAAAATGAAACTGACGGTTTTCGAAAAAAAAAATACGATGATTTGGATTAAAGAACTTCAACTCGCTCTAGACATATTTTATTAAGAAAAAATTATATATCTAGAAAATTATAAAATTCATTCTTTGACTTAACCCTGAGAGTGACCAGGAATGATTTTAGAAATTCCTTCAAACCAGTGAAAACTGGCGAAGATCGGTCGGTCCAATCAATTCAACCGGTCTGGTCCGGCACTGTTCTGATCCAGCCGAACCGGACCAGCTCCCACTCTGGTCTCTAGACGTTTCGTCGCTGTCATTCCGAACATCCGTCTTTGACACCGTATGTTCGGAATTGACACTTTAGTCTTCCAACGGGTGTTCGAGACAAAACAAACTTAGATATAGAGCTATAGACAAAGGAGAATAAGTCCCATAATCTCGAAAATGAAAACTCGAAAATAATAATAATATCAGTCACTTTGATGAACAACCAACACAAATTGCGGGTTCTCCTTCAGCCTCTTGATAGTTTATCAAAAAAAGATGCAGTATCCAGTACGGTAAAGACAAAAAACAGCAAAGACAGCAGCAAAAAAGTGAATATTAAAGTTTAATGGCCGCTCTTCTCTCTCATTAACTATATGTGGTATTGTGATGTCTAAGTGAAAAGTTTATTTTCTCTTTTTCTAAGTATCTGTCAGAGCTGCCGTCCTGACCTGATGCCAGGCCAGACTAGGCCAAAGTTGTTGGCCTGGCTGAGAGCTAGATAAATTCACAGTATTTCAGCTACTAGTGCTGGAATAGAGAGACAATTTAGTATTGCTGGACTTACATTGGCAAGTAGAAGAGCTAGTTTAGATCCTAAACAATTGGATAACGTGATTTATATTCGTAGTATTGCTAAATTGGATAGCCAGATGTGAATGTTCTTTCTTGTCGTTATCACTCGTTCTTATTCTTTACGTCTTACTTGTATGCTTTCTTTTAACTGTTCATCAGGTCCCGAATCATATGTTGTTTTTATTATTGTTTTAAAATATCTTTCGACTATGGGAAGAACTAATGATATTATCAAAAAATCTCAATAATTCAAGGTTTTGTTTCATGAAAAATATATATATATATGATGATTGTCTCTTTGTTTTAATTTCCTATTTTGTGTATGAACTTGTTATTCTATTATCTTCATGAGTTTAATCGATCCGAAAAATCAGAAATATCACTTGGCCTGGTTTGGCCTGCAGGCCAGGCAGAGAAACCAGACAGTCCATCTCGCTCTGACTGTCAGGTTGAATCAGTCTAGACCAGGCCGGAAAAAAGTGGCCTGTTGGCATCTCTGGCATCTGTCGCTAAAAAGGCCTGTCTCGACTCATTTGTGTCTGCAGAAGAACAAATGATAGAGATTTACTGTTTTTTGTTATTTATTTATTATTAAAATGTCTCTCTATTTCTGTGCCATTGTATTTCTTAAGAGTTTGACTTACAATCTGTGAAAAATATTCTTTGTTCAATAAAACTCATTTATTACTGAAAATGAAAAGACAAAGCAAGTAGATAGGCGACGGGTGTTGATAGTGAAGTAGTCTCTGCTGAACTATCCTTGAATAAGAGTGAATAGAAGCTTGTAATTCATTACACATTTTCACATCTGTAACTATGTGCCTAACATACTATGTAGTGTATTATAAAGGGAAGAGCATTCCGAAGATTGGTTAACTAGAACTAAAATCTACATTATTAAAAGAAGCAGATTTTTGTTCCGAACATCCCTCATTTTCTATTCCAAACTCCTGTGTAAAGTGTTACGAACATCCATTTTTTTCTCGATGATCGTTCTGAATACCCGTCTTATTTCTAATCACGAACATTCGATACTCTTATTATAAAAGGGATCATTTTTTGAAGGAAACGGATGTTCGGAATGAAAAGTAGCGACGAAACGTCAAAATCCCCCAACTCTGCTCTATATACTTCAACACTCCTTTTAGATCGTGTTTGACAAACTCCTATAAATGTGGTATGCGTACACTTAGGTTTCTTTACAATTGAACTCTATAGCTCACCTGATCGGCAATGGCATGCAGAATGGTCCTATTGCAGCTTATATATAACTGCAGTGAAAAAAAAAGTGTGACAAAATCATCATCACGTTTGTTAGATTCGGTTCAGTCTCAAAATTCGTACCTACTTCAAACTTACTATTCATAATATCTCGTATGGGAGTAGGTGCGGGTATAGGGATGAAAAAAGATAAGGCCAACACTCACATCCATATCCTTTTCTTGCTGTCAATTTCACTTAAAATTGAAGTCTTGCAGTAAATTTCTTCATGATAGATAAGTTACTAGGCTTCTCATAGATTAGAGAAAGACTTTTGAAGTATAGATACATGTGTCAATGTGCAATTTTCTCTCCCTTATGTATGTCTATTTAAGATAGTAGCAATTTGTCTGAGGTCATCAGCATTATCTGAGCATACCTTCAGAAAGAGATTGCATCAAGAAAAAAAGATCTATCATATATCGAGTTCATTACGTTCTATGATAATGTCAGGGTTCAAGATTTGAGTAACATGATTCGAAAATATGAAAAATAATAACACTAACATATATTCACTAATAATTGTACTTCCGACAAATCATGTTAAGATAGAATGTAAGAGTGATACATAAACAACCATTGGTATTACGATACGATGAGATACTTCATTCAACAAATCTATACAAGTTTAGTATATTGCAGTTCTGTACAGTGATGATGAACTTCTAAAAATAGCACCAATAATAAGCTAATCAATTCGATGAAAAGATTCATATTCCTTAATTGAAACTTGCAAACCCTATCTCGACAGTTAGCCACGCATGCTTTTGAAGATCATGTTTCATTGAATAGAGATGAGATAGAACTCAAAAATTTATCTTACATCTTTAATTTCGAATATTTGCAAATGCTCAGCTATTCTCTATGAGGAAGCGGTGTTCTTGAGCAAACTATCTTACCTTTACCTTACACCAAAGTAGAACACATTCAACAAGAAACACATATTGCATATTTCACTCTCACTGATGGCATTGTTTCCTACTTTAGATCTCTGGAGATGGACATAATTTATTCGATCAATACAGATATTCGAGAGAACGTTCATTGATTAACTGATCTCACTTGTTAAAGAATACGGCTGATTGTCGTGAATTTTGTGGGATGCGACAGCTGCCATTGGTTTTATCGTTCCATAAGCCTGTGTCTGTTCAACATTCAGAGTCATGAGAGAGATTACAAGAGCCTGCTAGCTTATCTCAATGCTGTTGTTCGTCTTTTATGTGGATGATCCAAATGTGTTAACTGCTTTATTGATAGAAGCACGTGGTGGATCTTTAATTTCAAAATATAAGAAACTATCACGGCATGTAAATACAACTGGAAATTAACAGCTATTTAGTATGAATTTCTTAATGAGTCACTGTTTTTCAAGAAGAGGAAGTGGTATACTATTCTACATGCTGTAGATACTCCTGATCAACAGTGAGAATAACTAGTTATAATATTTCTTAATAAAATGTGACATTCTAGGCATGTCTTTAAACCTGACAGTAACGAATGTATTCTGAATTTTCCATACTGAATATTTCATTAAAGCTGAATGATAATTACTCGCAACCAAGAAAATAAACGCAGAATCGACTACTTACCTTGTGGCGGGCTGTGCAAGCATATATTTCTCTCGGATATTGCAGAATCGATATAAGGATGCTGTTTCGATTTCGACTCTTTCATCACTGCCTTTGTAACATCATATAACATCGTGTGGACGTCTTTATTTGATGTTGCTATATGCTTTACAAGATGCTTTGTGAATAAACTATTTGATTCTGCTTCTCTTTCAATAGCTATAGTTCCAGGAGCGCAAGCAAATGCAATCACCGATCCGGCTTGACAATTCATCCGATCTAGACCAAGAGATATAGCATACGAATCATCCATTTGATTTATATTCGTATTTGTATTTCTATGATCCTCGCAAGCCTGATATTCTCTACAGCAATCCAATAGAAGTATTGTTGCAAATGGTTGCCGATCACTTATATGATCAATAATGGATTGTAATTGAATGGCACTTTCGTTTAGATCTTTATTTGTGTCGTCAAAATCTTTTGGTAAAAGATAATTTTGACTCTACAAATACCAAACATAAAGTTTTCATTAGCAGATTCACATATAGCCGAACATGAGAAAATATCAGACTACTTACCTTCCATCGAATTCCATGCCCAGAGAAATAAAATACTACCATATCTTCTGCTCCTATTTGTTGGATAAAGTCTGTACAAACACTATCCATGTCTTGATACGTTAAATTTCTTTGGATATTTACGGAAAAATTAATAGATTCCAATACAGTTGAAATGTCAATCGCATCATTTCGTGAATTCTTTATTTTTCGAACATGTTCATACTTGTCAATACCAATAACAAGTGCCAATTTGCGACGCGGTCCATGGGGAATATCAGTTCTTGCTTTAACTGTCATTAGAAATGGACTTCTATCTGAAGAGTAAGTATGATGAACGTCAAACAATAGACCTTTATTACTGATCAAAAGTATCGAAGACATTGATTCAAGGTTTCTCTGTGTTTCTCTCAGCTAAAAATCGGCTGGAATATCTCTCGTAGTATGGAATGTAGAGGTGGGTAAAGAGAAGGCTGACACTCCACACTCTTATATCAAGATTCAATCCATTTGCTGAGTAGTTAGCCTATTTATCAGAAAGAAGACATCAATATTAGAGTACTGTTATCAACCTCAATAAGATCTATCCTTTGATGTAAAAGGCTCTAAAATGGTTTGTAGATACATTCAACACAATCTTTACAGGATTAAAATATAAAACACGATGGAGCCACTTGGTAACTTCCATTTTCACCGGTTTTTTTCTAGCAAACTCAACTTGAGTCAAAAGTACAAACTGTCGAAAAAAAAAATTATAAAGGTAAAAAGTAGAATTCTGAAAGCAAGAATTTTTTGAAAGATGTTCTATGAAAATGTCAGTGCTTTACGATCAATGGTCACTTATACTCTTTCAGATCTCACTTAGTCAACGGTAGATTTAGGAAGCGTTCTAAGAATGATCGTTCTCATTCCAAAAAGAATTTTTCGATTTTTGAAAATTCCTATTCCAAATCCAACCAAATTCAGATAGTGGAACTGGAATTGATGAATAAGATCAAACAAGAAAATTTGCTTTGCTCTTCTGCACAGAATTTTGATTATAGAACAACACCATAACTGTCACCCTAGGCTATGCGGAACATTAAGCCAAAAAAACTGATCCATAATTAATCAAATCAAATAGTTATAAATCTAAAGATACTACTCTAGAACGTGACTGATGTTTAGAGATCAAAAGTAGTCGTCTGTTGTATTTATTTTTGCAAAGAATCTTCTCATGACTTGTTCTATACTTAAAATTACAACTATATATCATAAATGACAAACTGTATGAATACTTCCTATTCTAGATGAAAACCATATAAAAATTCTCTCAACACATAAATCAATCTTAAAAAAAAACACTACTTATTCTCATCATTCCATGATCAAGAAAAATATCAGTATTGACTTAAATGCCTGAAAGATTTGCAGACTCGGCTGATACTTTAGTGTATGAAGTGTTAGATCAAAATATTATCATTCTATATTTGTTAATATATTTGATTGGATCAAGTATTCAAAATTTTTCACTTATTCTACGTGCTCTATGCTACGAAAAAATTTGACAGTATATTATTTATGAAAATATTTTGACGTAGATGACCATTGTATAATCAACATTTCCACTATATGTTCACAGTTAGGCTCTAACTCTATGTCGCACTGTAAAATATTGCCATACAAATCGAGTATATTTCAGACGAAATAAGTTTTGTTATACTTTTACTTGAAGATACAATTCTTTCTTACCGTTGAATCGAAAACAAAAGACGAAAAATAATGTCGTGTGCATCACCTATGCTTATTTTGTTTTGTAGACTAGACGACAAATGACTGGGTTTTTTTATTTGCATGTAACAACACTCAGAAGCTTCTTGTTTTTCACATTTCTTTGCTGTTTTGATGACAGAAGAAAAAAAGAAAGAGAACCATAAACTCATGCGAGCACATTATAGCTTTTCTTACATAAATTTGTTTAACAGTATTGAATTTCGCAAGAAGAAACACAAATAACACCCAGCGATGCTCACATCGATGTGCATGTGGATTAATTTGAAGGTAGATCTGAATATGAGTGAGTAAGTGAACGAAAGCAGCTCTGATCTTTAACATGTGAGGGTGTGGTTCGAGAGAAAATCTACACCTTCACTACACACTCCACAACATTTTTTGGCTTTCATCGAATAGTTCCTATAAATGTACCGGAAAGGGTGTAGGTGTGGATATATGAATATATCAGCTAAGCCCACATGCACCCACACCTACACCCTTAAGACATGAATCAATTAAATATATTGAGATATTTCATAGCTGATCTTCTACAGAGTTTTACAGAGAAACATCAAAATAAGATTGAATATGAAAATGAAAACCTTACTGTTTATCGAGGTATGAAATTATCGAACGGTCAACTTGATGAACTCAAAAAGTATGAAGAAAAACTTCTTTTAAACGATGGCTTCTTAACGGCAAGTCGATTTCGTTCAAATACATTGGACTTTTGCTCACAAACCAATAAGACTGACGACTCGTATTGCTGTTTTTTCTTGAAATCGAGTTAAATAGACAAGATTTTAACAAAAATGTTATCTTTGCTGACACAGACAAATGTAATAAGTTTTCTAGCCAAAATGACATTCTCTTCAGTTCAAGTATCATATTTCGTTAGGATAATATTGAATTTCATGAAAACATCTAGATTATTAAAATAAGTACTTCATATGAAGGACAACTGATTCCAGAAAAATATATTGAAAATACACATCGTCAAATTAAAATTATATTTGAACGTCTTATGTTGGATAGACGTCAATGAAATCAATCATAAAATTATTTTGAACGTTTATTAACGATTCGAATCATATAGTTTAAGCATGGATAGAACATATTCTTCCTGAAATTTATTATCTAAAAGCAGAATTGAGTATGACACGTAAATTTTACGATCGAATGATCGATTCAAAAGTGTATGGGTGTGAGTCGTGAAGACAAAAACCCACCCACAGCCACATCCTCTTAATGAAACATGAAAACAATAAAAATTTAGATACGAAAATATTCAAGAACGTTTCGATTGAAAAAAATTCTTCATCATTATAGTGTGTAAATCCATGTGCGCATATGAACTTCGATAGATTTATGATCTATCTTGATACCGTTAACGACGATCACACACTCAACTATTTACTTTAATTCCGATTTTGATATTGTGATGGAATCGCTTCGGATTGAATATCTAAATTAATGGTATTTGATTCACTTGTTCGCTGTTCGTTTATTTTATATTCTAATAGAGAAAAAGAGAAGTAGAAATAAGTTCGATCCGTTTAAGGAATTGATTAATTCATTTTTCAAGAATTCATTCGACCTTCAATAGTATCAAGCAAACATATGTGGCAGCAAATTCTCAATCGGTTAATTTTCTTGAAACGTAATATAATCAGAAATGATATCATTTATCGTCATTATTGATAAAAGAAGCTTCATATTAAAAACTTTTTCATACAAAGTGCTAACTTGAAAGTCGCGATGAGTTTTGAGTTGAGTTCGAGTGTAAATTGTTGCACCCACGCAAAACATTACTATTCTACCGATTTGCCTACTCTATAGTTAATTCTATGTTGTTTTTTGTTTTATTTAATTATAATAAAAGTTATATTGTGTGTCATTTTAATATCGTTTTTTTTTTCGATGTAATCGATTGATGAAAAGTATGAATCAAAAACAAGAGATTGATTATTCTTCTTAAATTCGTTCGTGTTACTAATCAATGTTTTATTATATTGACAATGTGTTTTATTAGTTATCCCAATCATCATCAAATCCGTCACGATCAGTATCGAAATTACCAGCAAAATTAGGAGGAAAACGAGAAGGATTAAGATTAGTGTTAGTCTTAGCAATAAAATCAGCAGCAAATTTTGTGTCATTCCATAAACTAGGTTTAATAAAACGGAAAAAAATGTCAGCACCATTATCAGCAGGAGTACTATCCCTTGTTTCAGTGAATGGCTTTGAATTGTTTGATAATTGGTGAAGATCAGGTTCTAAATGATGTTGAAAAAAAAAAGAAATGTCAAGTGTCAATAGTATTGAAATAATATACTCTTACGTCTCTTCAATAAACTTTGCTTTATAGGACCCTCCCCCCCCCCCTCCTCCCATATATTAGAAGACCCTTTTTGGCAAAAAGTTAGAAAAAATCCATTAGAAGACCCAAGTCTTTTAATCGATTAAAACAAAATTTCAGAATCTCTTTTCTGTTTTTATATATGACTATGCCGACCAAATGCTTTTAGGTTTGTTTGATGATTAAGAGATGATCTCTATCGATTTGAAAGAAACATAGAGAAGCTTGAAATTGGATGTTCCTTCTTGAACACTGACGTTCTTTACATGTGACTACATTTATTATTATTATTCTAGAATGAGATTGTACTAGTTTCAGTAAAAAATAGATACAATTATTAACCTCAAAGTGTTCATTGAAGTTTTATAAACTATTTATCAATTTTTTCTTTCCACTCGGGTTGTTACAGTGCTAGAATCGAATTTTGCTCTACTTTGTGTTCGAGCACACTCATTAAAATGACTGAATATAATCATAGAAAATCATTAGATTCTGATTAAAATTACTATCAAAATTCAGCGTAACAACTTATTAGTATCACTTTAGTTTTATTAGAACTGAATGACTAATTTAAGTGAGTATATGAATAGGGACTCGAGTCGCTAAGAAATACACTACATGTCAGTCCTACAATCTACTTTTTCTATATCTGAGGTTAATTCATATATATTTTTTCAGTACAGATGATACACCTCTATATTTTCGAAACCTTTAATATATATTTGGGTCTTCTTGTAAGTATTAATGTTAAATCATACAGGCACAGCTTAAGGCGGCTATAGAAATTTAATCGAATAAATGGTGTTTTGACAATACTAGAAAAAAATTGCAAGTGCAATATTTAGAGAAGAAAAGCTCGAAACATCATGTAACTATTTTCTAATAATAGCATATTAATTGTTTTATTTGAGCGTAGATCGATTCATCATTGTTTACTTAATTTTCTAGAATGGCAAAGAGATTATACTTTATGTATTTTAATAAAATTCAAATGTTATTCGATCTTTGATCTCGTATCTGCAAAGCCTGGCAAAGTCTGTGTCATAGAGAAGAATGAATCCAGTGTCTACTACGATCTCTAATAACGTTTCAGAGTGCCTGTCATGGTGTATAGGAAGAAGGTAGAAATTATGAATCCAAATATCTTTCCTACATAATTGAAAACCTCTTCAATAGCGTGTTTCATAGAACAACACCCTCACATGAGATGCATCATATAAGAATGTCCTGATTCATCAATCTATACTCTCGTAAGTATCGTTTAGAAACTAACTTTTTGTGAAAACAGCAATGTAAAATACAAAAAATATCGCAAAATTTTCATTAGAAGACCCCCTAGACAGTTTACACGCTCGAACATATTAAAAGACTCAGGCTCTGTTAGAGGGGAAGGTTAGACCGGATGCATTCGAATACTCACATATCAGACTTATAATTGAAGTGTACTAAGAATTTAAAATTGAATTGTCTTCTTTTCCTTTGTTGGTCATTAATGTCCAAGAACGAGTTGATAAGTTATCAAAATTATTAGGAAATAATCAGATATATACATAAGCAGTGGACAAATGACTTTTTTACTTTGTAGGCTGTTTATACTACTAAAACCCATGATTTTGTTTTATTGTTATACCATGATACTTTTATCTCTAATTAAATCTCTAAGGTGATAACTGAGGAAAAGTTATATTCGTGAAAAATAGAATATATTTATTGTTAAACACAATCGAAACTTCCAGTATCAATCTGCTTTAATGTTCTTGATAACACACAATACTCAGACTTGTTTCATTTATTATATCACATCATGAAATATTTATATGATGCTCTAATCTTTCGTAGATCTTTAGAATTTTTTTTATTATTTATGTTTTATCGAAACATCTCCATCCATTTACTCCTAATGAACAAATGCTTTTAACTAAAATTAAAAGTTAATATGTTAAATTAGACTAAATTTTCAGCTGATTTATAATTAAATATTTGTGTTCAAGAAATATTTTTTCTAATTTTCTTAACATACGCAATAGAGATTATGGCACTAATTCAGATTAAATTCCATACGAGTGTGCAGTGTTCGTTCAAGCAGAATTTTCAAATTCTGTAGTTCAGTGATTATTATTTTTATATCTATCTTTTAACATAGAATGTCAGTATGAGCAAAAACATGTCATTTCATCTCGCTTTGCTAAATATAGAAACTATATACAAATGATCTAGCTGAATAAAAGTTACGTAGAATTGAGGCATTCAAAATTTTAAAAAAAGCACTTAGAATATTTAACTCTGCATGTGGGATACTTCTATCACTTTAACTACGAAATAAAGTCTTTTAACCAAACAAAAATTAGTAACACTTGTTTTTCTGACATTTTTGTCGTGAAAACATTATGTATACACTAATAACAATCAAGGATTTACATAAATCGGCTAAAAAGTAACAGAGAGAGCGAGATCAGTGAATCAAAAATTTGACCACGAAAACTCATCCGTTTCGAGGAACTTTAATTATTGTGAATAAGGAACATTTTATGAACATAATTCAGGTCTAGAATATTATCCAAAGCTCACATATAAATCAAGAAAGTCGATACGAAACTGCAAGCACAATTAATCTGACCTCCGATTAGGATTTTGTAAAAATTATAAAAATCCTTAGAGGATAACGTTTATCTAAAATATAGAATTTTCGATAAAAAATGGTAAAAATAAAGGACTTTTTGAACATTGTTTCTATTAAATTACTTTGCTGTTTTTTAATTTCTCTGCTTGAAGATCGTTCTAATGAAATTGTGCCAACAGCCCTCTATTTATTGCTTTGACATAGATTCTCCATTCTCAAAATTGTTTCGATCTGCTCGTTATCTTGCATGTTTCAAATAGATTGTTTACAGTCTAATATTTTATTAATATGACCATTCAATTTCACTGATAAAGAGTAAATAAAGACACAAGATAGCATGATGAAAATCTAATAAATAGAGGTATTATAGGATAATAATTAGAGAGATCTTCATTAGGTAGACAACTAATTAAGAAGATTCTCAATTAAACAATGATCTGTAATGAGTATGTCTATGAAGAACGAGGTCGGAATTGGAAGCCACAAAAACTGAAAATTAAAACTTTCATTGACTATTTTCTTCGAAAATATATATGAATTCCACAAACCAGACACTATTTCTCATAACTGAATTTTTTGGCATTGTTTTTCTAATATGATAGATGATTGTTTATTAATTATTTCTTTTTAATGTCTCGAATAAGTGTTTTTTAAATATAGATGAGTAAAAATCCTTTTAGAACAGAAATCAATACATTTATTTATATACTAGTATTTATTGTTGACATATTATTTTACATATATATTATATATAGATCTTTCATATTTTTCTAAAACTTCACTTAAAATTCAGATCTATTATATTATAATCTTGAGAATGTTTTCCTTTTCAACTAATTTGTATTCAATGTTAATATCTGAATAAGTTCACTAAATACTGTATTTATAACAGATGCCACTGTAATATGAGAACTCTCCCAAAACAAGTAATTATGTACTTGCACAAAATTTTTTTCATCAAAAGACAATATTAAAATTTACGGGTTTGACAAAATTTTCTACTTTTTTCGATAACATATAGGAATTCTAGGACTACAATCGGACGTTTTTTGAAAATATACGAATTATAGGAAATCTAGGTCGAATCGGAATCCAGCAATCAATGAACATCGGTCCCATTTCGAAGCTCATCTAAATCAAATCAAATCTTCGAATTGTTAGGTCAATTTCAAGCATTTATTATGGAGTATATCTGAACTTAGATAATGAACCATGTTTATGAAGGCCTAATAGAAAAAGTAAGACTCAGACGAAACATGGAATAAATACAGAAGCGACATTTCCTAATAAAATTCAATAAAAGATCATATTGACTTACTATTGTGTCGTTGTTGAAGATTTAAATAGATCAAGTATTTATTCTTGTCTTTGTCAAAATCGATTCGATCGATCTCGAAACAGACTCCTGGAAAAAGTAGTTCTTCTTCTTCATGAGGATATCTAGATACTGGTCGAAGATCAACAGTGAAAGCAACTCGAATTTCCATAATAAAAAGAACATTGCCGAATGATTCGGCTACATTTCGATTGCGAGTGCAAGAAGTAAAAGCTTGAAATGAATGTTTTGGTTTCGAATCTTTTGAGTAGTCGTCTTTAAACGAATTAATCAATGCGTCAGGTAGTTGTGCTCCACGATAAATAATTGTTCCCGGTTTGGTCACTTTCCTATCGAATGGATTATCCCATAAAAGCAAACAAAACGGTCCCAATGTGCGAACTTTACTTCGCCAGATCTGCTCATGTTCTTCACTTCCTATTAATCGCATAGTTTCATTCAATTTTTTGTATAGAAAACTTTCCAACGAGTAAAGATAAGCACAACATCGCCATACTTCTTCCATTCCTGTTTCCTTTTTTTCTATCAATGTTTTTGCGATCAGTTCGGCTTCACGTTGCTTTCCAAGTTTTTTTCCTTCTTCGATAATTCCCATAGCAGCTCTTTCGACGATGAATGAGACAATGACTTTATTTTTCGAGGGCAATCGATCTCTGCTAATATTTAGATCTTTTACGACTGCTTGTATAAAAGGAGAAATAAAACCATATAGACCACTATAAGGACGTTTGGGAGCGATTGGATTGGACATAAATCTTTCTCTTCTCAAAGGCATATTATCTCCATTACGAATCGTTCGTTTAACGTGTCGTTGCTTGTTGATATCATTGTTGGAGATTTGAAGATTATGTTTAAAATCAATATGGTAATCGTCTAAAATAGCATGAGTTTGACCAGCTCTAAATGCGTGTTCGATGATCATGTTTTCTACATCTGAATATGATTGCCATTCTGGTGAATGTGACGTCGAAAACGGATTTTCATTCGCATTCCACATCCACTGAACATAAGTAGAAGAATTACTCGATGCGCTTGCCATTTAATGATTTATAGAAATCTTCAAAACTCAAGTCACAAACTTAAATTGTTTTGTTGATTCAAGAATTTTCTGAAAATAAATTTTAACAAACTAGTGATATATTACGAGGAAAAAAATACACACAAAAAGTTAACTTTATTCATCGAACAAACGTTTTTCGAGAGGACTTCCTACGATCAAGTATAGCTCACTTTTTACAATGATTAATAGAAAAAAGAACGTTGTTTTTTTTTGTATCCTCAAATATGTGAAAGAAAAGAATAACTTCTGCATGATAAAAGAAGACGGGAATGAAGTTTTTTCTTCCTTTTCTTCCTTTTTTTTACTTTTTCATTGTGTTTGTTAAACTTGCAGACTACAGCAGCTGTAATGACGGTTGAGAATGTGGACATTTTTACCGCGGAACAAGTCATCGCATCAGTATGGCAGTTGATTTTTAGATGTGCTTATGGCAACGAAGTATACTTTTAAGACTTACATTTTATAATAATTTTCATGCGAGGAATGCATACATGTCTGAATCTTGCGCCCATCCGAAGAAAATATTCATTATAAAATACAATATATACACCAAAAAATACTGATCACATTCAACTACGAACAACAAGAAGGGTGGGGTGTGGGTGTGGATGGGTGTGAGTGTTATTACTATCATTCACACCCACATCCACACCCAAATATAGTTTATTCGACGTGATTTTTTGAGCTGATTCCGAATATCATATCTATTTGGTATGAAAACAATGAGTTCGAAATGAAACTCGAAAAAATGATCCCGTTTTCGGGCGCTTTTTGCCATGTTTTATCATGGTTACAGAAAAAGTGAATTTTCTTAATAACGCTTAAACTCCGGATTAAAAGTATACGTAACTTTTTTCTTATTGATCTAATGGTTCGAATGCTCAAAAAAAAAATCATTTTAGCTCTTACAGAAAAAAAGGAGATAGGTTTACAAAGTAAGGCTCTCGATGAAATACAACGTACGTCTTGGTAAGCCAACCAAAAGTCATAGGATTGATGAAATTCCATCAAACTCAGCTATATACCACAGCTTTATGTGTTCGATTCAGATAAAATCCTTTTGTTGAGAAAAATCTAATCAAAGATACATCAATCCTGAAATTAATAGTGAAAAAGCCGCTTTTTTGGGGGTTTTCTGAAATTTTTTGTATTTTGCAATTTTCTCGGCTCAGATGAGATCTGAAAATTTGAAAAATATATATTCTGAATCAACGTGAAAACTCTATCGACTGATGTATAATTCATCTAGATTTGTTTTCTGCTCGACTTTTGCATTACGTGCACCTTACTCTCAGTCACTTTTTTTTTCATTATGCTTTGTATCGTGAGTAATGTTATCAATAAAAAAAATTCTGATCCAAACTTTTAGATTTTCAGTGTTAGTAAAAACTCATTATTTTTAGAGCAGGATCACTTTCATGTAAAAGACTAAAAATCCACTGGTATTTCTAGATGTTGATTATCAAAAATTGACTTTTACTAGAAATAAACACGTTTTTCCAAATTAGTATGCAAAAATACATCGAAAACTTTGCATTTCACCGCATATTATCTCTAATCAAACTTTTCACCCTATTTCCTCTTGACTTTTTTTTTTCGTCAAATTTCGACTGTACCACCATCCTGCAGATAAAATTTGATTGAAAGTCTTTTCCCGAAGAAAGATAGACTTTCTAATGTATGTTTCCATGCTGATTCCCAAAATCACACTCGCTTTCAATAAAAAATTAACTTTTAATAATAAAAACTTAGAAAATACTAGTCGTGTTTAGAGTTTTTCTTTTCTATGTAGAAGGTACTCTGTTCTAAATGTAATGAGTTTTTCACTAATACTGAAAATGTCCAATATCTGGTTGCGTTCTTTCATATCATCATACCACTTACAACCAAAAAAATGTTAAACCAAAAATAACAAAACAAAAAAAACTAATACGGAGAAATAATCCATAGGAAAAGCACTACTTTCGTTGATTTGTTCGAATGTCTACTGTTTTGTATATGATAATGAATCAACACCAGTAGTTGAAGAAAAATTGTCAGCAAAAATTGATGAATGAAAAGGTTCAGTAAGAATAGAATTAGAATTAGAAATAGAAAAAGTACTTGATGATGATGATGATGTTGTAATTTTTGTTGAACGAAGAGAGCTAGTGAAGAACATTTTGTTATATGTAAAGAAATTATTTTAAAGGTGGCGATGATTTTGTTTTTTTTTGTTTCGCTTCATGTATTTGCTGTTAATTGCAGAAATCTTAAAATCAATGGAAGAATTACGTTGATTTTTCAAAAAAAAAGTTTAGTGAAAATATAGAACATCTTTTCAAAAATTTTATATTTTATTTAAAATTCGGCCGATAGGTGCACCTATGTTTGAATCGAGTCAGCCCGACTCGGCCCATTGAGATCTCTGATTTGCAGTCCAAAGATGTTTTTCCTGAATATCAAATAAATGAAAAAGTTGTTCAATATGATTTCACAGAGGAAATTCATTTCATGAACCTTTTTATTAAGAAACTCAATTTATCATAACAAAAAACAAAAAATAACACTAAAAACATAAATTACAATTGTCTATTGATAACATTATATAGATGTGTTGGCACCCATTAACTAGTTTCATGTACAAATATAACACTTTTATCCATGTAAGGGTATGGGTGCAGGTGGGTGTGGGTGTGGGGTGGGGTGTAGGATTTCTTTAAACACACCTACATCCACACCCACCCACCACACCGACACCCACACCCACACCCACCTTTGCAATAAAAAAAAAAGCAATCATTGTCATTCAATTATGAAAAGATATATTGTAGAAGATAGTTACTTAAGTGATACAATTTAAAAATTAGCAGTAACTGCTTCGTCTACATTTCAAAGTGATATTCTTAGCGATACATCATTAGACCTTGACGGTTTTATCGGTGAAATGGAAGATGATTATCAAGAATAAGAACGAATGGAGCAAGAACGTGAACAATAGTACCCTATCTTATAGTTTACATATCAAAATCACATATACATATCTATTTTCTTGCATTTGTAATAAAACTACTGTTAATTAGTCGAAGTTTTTCAATGACTAAGACTCTTTCTATTACTTGGCCAGTGAAAGTTACAGTAATGGAAAGTGTAACACGCTTACTTCCAATGTCTTTTTATGCCATTTGATAGCGCTTTTTCTGCTCTATCTCACCATATGAAAATTCCAAAATTTATCCTTTTACGAGAACTATAGTTCTTTTTAAGGAGGACACTTTAATAGGGTAAACTCTAACTTTCGTTCCATTATAACTTGATTATTTTCTTTTTCAATCTTTTATAACAAAAATAAGGAACTAATTGATTTCATACGGTAGGATAGTAGTATATGACATACTGTTTCTATTGGTTAAACATCCTTCTATTTGCAATGAAACATGACTAAATAAAAATCAAATCAATATGATGGCTGACAATTTTTATTTATTTGATATTATTTGTTTTCTTCCCATGGTTAATGAAACGATATCAATAGTATAACCTCTAGTGGAGCTATACTACATAATCCTACATCAGTCATATATGGATACAATACCTATCAAATGGGGGATGAATAACAGCATATATAAAATTTTTCCAAAAATAATCAAAATTTAAGTTCTACCTTTAGTTGATATGACTATAGTTAACTATAGTGCTTGTTTAATAAAATAGAAGGGTGTGGGTGTGGGTGTGGGTGTGGGTGTGGGTGTAGGTGTAGGTGTGGGTGTGTGGGTGTGGGTGTGGGCGTAGGTGTGAGTGTGTGGGTGTGGGTGTACATCTTCTGTTGACCCACACCCACACCCTACACCCACACCCACACCCACACCCACACCCACACCCTTGGATGCAACCAAAAAAAAACAATTCCCTCTTACAATTGTGGGTCATCTTAATTTAGATGGCTTTATTTGAAGAGAAAAGTTTATCTGCTCTATTAAACGCTCATATATAAATTACTTAAAAGAAGATTTAATCACTCATAGAAATTGATTAATAATTTGTGAAATATTAGCCATTTTCAACTCTCGTTTCTAGGAATCACTTCGTACTCGACCATTTATATTGTATTTTTACATAAAAGCGGTAAATTTCCTCTCTAAAATTCCTAAAAACTATTAATCAACTGCATTAATTAATTACTATTAATTGTTACTACTTTTTAAAATTTATAATTAATTATTTGTAAAAGCTAACATTAATATAATGAGGAGGGGTGTGAGCAATTAGCAACCAGCTTCTGTATTGCGCCTGTCGGTAACCAAGAGCGACTGTCTGTAAGGGAAGGGATGTAGAGCCGGAAAACTTCAACTTAAAACTTACTCTCACATTTTTTTATATTCGAGATTAAATGTGAGTTCCACAAAAGAAATGACAAAATATGAATTAATACACGAAGACAAACACATTATTTAAATGAAGTACTACATGAAAAACAAAAGAGAGTATCAAAGTTAATAATATGTGATTGAAATGGAAGTTAACATAGACAAAATATGTATTAAGTATCAGAGTTTGATAGAAGCTTAGAAAAACCTTCTTTATCACAGTTAATAAAAACAGATATTAAAATAGATGATTCATTTGTTCAAACAAATTACATTGACAAACTTTTCAGACGATGAATTTTCTCCTCAAATTCAAAATCAATATCATTTTTGCTAAACAATTTAATTCTGATATCATCTGCAGACATTTTTCTAATGCTGCTAAGATTTAACAATGCATCCAAAAGCGAATCTTCACAAAACCAAGTCAGAACTTTATTGTCGTCAGAGAACTTATTAATGATAATCGAGACTTGTTGATGAACTTCTAATAATGATACAACATGGGCATTAGCCAGCTGAATAAATAATTGTAATATTTTTAAACCAAATGCAAATTTGGTATTATACATAATCCATTCTAATTTCTCGAATAACACTTCAATTACTTTTCGATCTGATACTTGATTTATGTCGTTGACGTTTATAACCATCGTATTTGCACCACGAACATCAACACACTCTAATATTTGAATCAATTCTTCTGTCAGGATACCAAATCTTTCATACAGTTCCACTACTGCTTTATAATCGGTTGTTGTTTTTGCGTAATAAGCGTACTGATACAAATTTCTTTTCAATGTCATCTCGTCGATAGAATTCTTCTGAAGAGCATTTTGGAATATTTGGAAATTTTCTTCACTGAGCTTATTCGCTATGTCGACGTGATTAGGTGAAGGATCAGATAAATAGTAATTGTTACATTTGTTGTCTAAATCATTCTTTAGTTCACAAACAAACTTGTCAAGAAGCTCAGCAGAATGAATTGATATGTGATCTACAATTTTCTCGGTTTCATCAAAATACCTGATATCCTGCCGCAGAAATAATGATTATTGTAAGAATATATCGTATTCATTTTCAGCTGTTGATTCCCATTTGTTTCTGAACCATTTTAATATTGTGTTGAACTCTACAGATGATTGTTGGGCGATAAGTAAACACAAACCAGCTCGAATAGATATCATCTTTGTTGATGATGAATTGAAAATTTCAGTGAGTGTCCGTTTGATCTCATCGGAGACATGATAAGTTATTTGACATTCATGCAATTTAGCAAGACAATTACCATAGGCTAATAAACAAACAACTAGGACATCTTCTGCATACTTATCGTAGGAAGAAATAATCGTCTCTAAATGAGCAATTACATTATTCATCACAAGTTCATGCTTTTTGTCTTTCCAGTTACGAGTGAATACTGAATAGAGACCGTTAAGAATTGCCTTCTGAACTTGATGAAGTGATTGATCATGAAGAAATGAAAATACATATTCGTATAATTCTTCGGAGAATTGTTCCATCTTATCATTCCACATCTCACTCTCGATTATCCATTTAATAACAACAGCGACATATTTTTCTTTCGACCTATTTTCCATTGCACTTTTTTGTTCAATAAATGTCTGTAGATGCTGTTTAAGTTCAAGTTGTAATTCATATGAACAACCTTTGATTATTAATAAAAATGATTTTGATGAGAATTTAGATGGCTCATTCTCATTTTGAGTAACTCGTTTGAGTTCCAAATCCGCAATCAAATGGAAAATCTCTTGACGATTGATCCAAATTGAAATATGAGAAGAATAATGACTGTTTCTCTGCCATCTGATCATGATTTGACGAAAAACAGTTAAATCAACAACTGTTGAATTGAAAATATGTTCCAAGAGAGAATTAAAATGAAATCCATCGTCAGTATCAAGCATCTCGTTGAGAATGTCAATTAAATGAGGAATATTTGAATGTTCAATAAGCAGTTGTAAAGCAGTATAGTATGCAAAACATCTTAAATCTTTATCATCTTTATATGTGAGCCATTTTTCAATTACAGACAGAGCTTTCTCTTCAACCATCGAGCAATTGGACATGTCTTCGATGACCTCACTTAGATCATCTTCGTTTAGTGGTTTCTGTAAATAGTTGGCGATCCATGTTGCTGCTTCATATGTCATTATCTTTTCATTGTTTGAGACGTCATTTTCGTGTGACATCAATTCTTTCAAAGAAGAAATTTTATTCTTATAATGACCATTTGTATACATTTGTAAAAGATGAGTATCAAATGCCAATTCTGTCAGATATATTAATGATAGAATAGTTGTATTCAATGAATCGAATGATGTTGCATTAGTAAAACATCGAAAGAGCAAAGATGAATTCAATTCAATAGGATCAGAGGAATTTGATACATAATATGAATCTCCAAGTTGTTTCAATGCGATTAATACTGTCTCTCTAACTTGACTATCTCTGTCGGATAGCGTTTCATTCAATTTCTTACCAATCGCTTTAATCATTGAAGAGATCATCGGAAAATATTTTCGTTGCGTGTGAAATCGAATAATCAAAAAAGTTAATGTTAATAATGGAAAAAATGATAGAAAATGATCTAGCAGACGAGTCATTTCCAAATCTAATTCCTTTCTTTGTTTTTCATCAAAGATAAATGGATCTTTCATTTCTAATATCATATCCAAAGCGATGATTTGTAAGATCGGATCACATATATTTCTGATAGCATCGTATACTTTCTCATTTAGAGAAGAAGAATGATATTGAACTTGAAAAAGTCGAGCGAGAGAAATTGCTGCAGGAAATAATCGACAATCTTTCGCGTCATTTTGTTCTATGTTATTTGCTTCTGAAATACGTTGACATTCCACATCAATCAGTTTTGCCCAATTGTCACATTGATTAATACACATTGATTCGAATGACGTGAGCTTTTCTGTTGCTTTCGACGATTCTTTTAACTTTTCTTCTTTATTGTCATTCTTTGAGTTATATTTGAAAAGAACAACTGAAACATAACTTTCTAACATGTGCTCTTTGCATTGTGATTTTAATTTTGTTAAAGCAAAAGAGAAGTTCGGATCATTTTTATCGACATTTTCTAAGTATGTTAAACATTGTGCTAAGAATACAACTAATGGTAATGCATCAGTTTTATCATTTGGATTGATAAATAGATAATAATACAAGTTTTGCAAAGACAGTGGTACAAAGGTCAGCAAGAAGGATCGATCGTCTGAAGAATCTTTTTGCATAGGTTGAAGATTCTCTTGCACTAAGTTTAGTTTTCTCTCTTCATGTAAATGACTGGACTCTAGTTCAGATTCTACGTAATCATCGTGGTTGTTTCGATGCGAAAATTCTTCGAAGAATACGTCTAATGACCATTGAATGAACAGTTTTTCCAATGCAGCCTCACATGCTGTTGAGTAGGCTGGATGTTGTTGATCGTCTTAATAAGATTGTGAATGAAACATCTTTATGATTGATTCAACTGTATTTCTACATAAGGTTTCTACCGCCTGATACACATCATTAGATATAGTATAAAATATTCTTGTAATAAAAAAGTATGCTTGTTTTATTTTCTCAAATGCCATTAGTAATGCTTGATATCTGAGATACTTTCGTATAACGAGAAGATTCGAAACTTCTTGTAAACAGATAAGTGCGACAAAAGTATCGACAATATCATCTGAAGTATTTGATGGTGAAGCTTCCTCAATAACTTTCTCGTATTGTTTGATGAGTGCTTGCACTTTAATTGAATGAGATTGTTCTTGATTCATTAGATATTCAATGATTAGTCCCATGATTGATGATTCACGATAGATTCGTCTATGTGACCAATGAATTTTAATTGGAATGTCTTCTTCCAAAACTACTCCTCCACATACCACAATAATAATAGAAAGTATCAAAGGATGAATATTAGATAAGTCAATCTTCTGAGGCTCGAAATGCGAAGTCCATCGACTGGGAAAGATATTATCAGGTGCTCTTTGTAACATCATTATAGTTCGCAAAGTTTGATCGACAACAAACTTAGCTGATATGCATTCGTTATAGAATGACCAAAGTTGCTCAGCAACAACTGATAGTTTTGATTTCTGATGAAATGATTGTAGTCCGAAAAGATATTCGAATTGCAACAGAAAGCATTGACAAAATTTTGAAAGAGATTTATCATCTTTGAGATGGCTCGACATCCAATTTTTTATAATATCTTCAGACAACTTGAATAAATTTGATATTAAATATCGCTTTGCAACACCATTTAAAGGATGATCTAATAAACTATCGAATGCAGTAAAGATGACTAATTCAGAAGGTAATCTTCGCATATCATTGAGAGCATCAAAGAAAAGAAGTACTCCAAGTGGAATTGCATAATTCTTATTTGGTCTAATCAATAAAGTGCAGAATTCATTATAATCATCAACTGACCATTTCCAACTGATCCAACCAAGAGACATACGAAGTGGTTCACGAAAACGAGGATTGATTGTGTTTAAAAGAATACGATTTGCAATTTCCTCGATGGAATAATATTTTATAGTATTTCGATCTCTAAAATCACGCTTGACAAGAGATTGTGCAACAAAATATTCTTAAAATGATAAATGTTGAAAACCAAACACTTCTAAACCACGTTCAGCTACAATGCCTGCGTTTGATTCAAGAGCTTTTAGCAATTTCTCACCATATCTACGAATCCCTGCACCATTAGTAGCCATAATTTGTTGCTTCACAGTTAAACGTGATAGTTGTGTTATGTCAAATGTATCAATGAGACCAGATGGTGATTCTAAATGAAGATGAGTTGAAAGATTAATTAGAAATTGTTTCAGTAATTCTGTGGATATGCTTAGTTCGTGTTTTATCCAAAAACGTAATGCTGATTCGACAACTTGATTGTAAAGGATGTGGGCGTGGGTGTGGATGTGGGTGTGGGTGGGTGTGGGTGTGTGGGTGTGGGTGTGAGTTCAGATGTCGATCTCTTCTTTACCCACACCCGCACCCACATCCCACCCACACCCGCACCCACATCCCACCCACACCCACACCCACACCCACACCCACACCCACACCAACACCCACACCCACACCCTTATGTTTTTCGCACAGTAATAATAAAAAAGATTAACAGCCTTGATGCATTGAGGTAAAACAAAATTAAAACTTTTAATAATCAGAGTCGATTGATGTAAAGTTGATCTAATGATTTTCTTTTTATTAGTGATCAAAAAAACTCTTCATGAAAAAACATGTCTTTTCTTAGATAGTGATTTTGATGTGAGAATCGATAGATAAAATATTTGTTTAATTAATCGGTTTCTCTGGTGACCAAAGGTATACTGTTGCTTTAAATGGAGAAATTCGATACATGTCGTTTGATTTCAAACACCCACGGGCTGAAATCTATTTTTTATTTTCAAATTTGCTGATGCAACATTACAATAAGGCTAATGTATAACACAAGTATATATATCTTCTTTGCTTTGATTTTTAGCAAGCGCAATTAAAGTACTTCCAATATTTTGACGATGATATTCAATATCTACACCTGTTTGTTCAATATAACGAACATAAGGAGATGATACTAATTGTTCCCATCGTTCATTTGTAATAACATTTTCATCAAGTATAAACTGATCAACTTCTGGATTCATATGATGAATACGACGATCAATCGATGTTAATAATAAATAACCAGCTAATTTATTTTGCTTATCATCATTAATACAAATTAATAATGATGTTGACGAAGATAATAATAATTTTAAACTCTCAATCGACCAACTATGAATACGAAAACCTTGATTTATATTATAATCATTGGTATTTTCAAATTTTTTTATTAATAGTTTTGACTGACAATTAATAACGAATTCACAAATACGATCAATTTGTTTATGAGAAATATTAATAACATAACCTATAAAATTATTTTTTTTAGTTCTTGTTTATAAACTAAAGCTCCTGTTGTACCATTTTCAAATAATATTGATAAAGATGGAGATAGATGATCCATCGAATATTTTGCAAAGTAAAAGTATCAAAAAACGATATCTTTCGTCGTTTATATCACGTGCGTTCTGCACATCTCGAAAGAAAAAAAAATATTTACCTTGTTTTAACAATGATAACGGTAGACACTAACAAAAAACGAAGCAATCATTGATTTAAGGATTTACACTCGCAGCCTGATGTGATCTATAAATATATGATATTGAACACAACTACTTTTTGACTAGTTTGTTTATTTAACTAACGTGACTTGGTAGTCTGTTTTTTCTTCGATGATGTTACTTTTTTATTTATCACAAAATATTAATTTGTAAAATATACGCATTTTGTTTTTTAATAAGACTTATATGACCCATTTAATGCTGCTTTTGTCACTGTCATTCTTTCATATAAAAATATGCTCTGTCTAAATGACGATGTAGAGATAAAGAACAGCTTAAAATTTAAAAGGTGACAAAAGCGCAGTTGCTTTTCATTCTTTTACCAAACTAATAAAAGACGAAACTATGTTATTCCAACATTTTTTGCGCTTATTTATGTAAGTATTAAACACAAATTTTACGTTGTAAGTATATTTTCTTTTACTTATAGAGTATTCGCAACAACGAATGGTAAGTACTCGTTGATAAGATTTTAAGAAATATAAAACTATTTATTTCCAGGTCAACCTACTTATAAACAATCTAGTGATTGTAAGTAAACAAAATAAAGAAAACTCAAATAATTTGATGAAATAAAATTTCAGGCCCCGGGAATCTTAAATGGACTACAGATGGAATAACAATTATGGGTAGTGGTTATGGTACAGGACCAGACAAATTTCAATTCCCTGAAGGTTTATTTATTGAAGCAAAAACACAAATATTATATGTTACTGATGTCTCAAATAATCGCGTACAAAAAAGATATTCAAATGGTGAAATCAAAACTGCAGCTGGTCAAGCCAATTGTGCAGGTGGGTCAACACCAGATAAATTGAGCGGTCCAAGAGATGTTGTTGCAGATGAAAATGAAAATGTTTATGTTGTGGATGAGGGCAATCAGCGAGTGCAATTTTGGGAAAAAGATGCTAAAAGCGGGAAAATGGTTGCTGGTGATGGAACTCAAGGTTCATCATTAAGTGAATTTAGTTATCCATTTAGACTTACACTTGATTCGAAGAAAAATATTTTCGTTTCTGATACACAAAATGAACGTATAATGAATTGGTCATCAGTATATAGTCCAAAAACATCTGCTGGTAAAATCGTAGCAGTAAGTTAAATTTTTATCTTTAGGAAATATCACCATAAAAATCCTTTGTCGATGTTTAGGGTGGTCATGGTGCAGGTCTCAATCCATATCAATTGAATGGTCCCGTTGGTTTATGTTTAGATGAACCAAATGATGACTTATATATAGCAAATGGAAATTCACATTCAGTAACACAATACAATATGGATAGTTATGGAGATAAAATAATAGTTGCTGGTATTCCTGGACGACCTGGTAATAGCGCAGCTCAACTCTACAGTCCTGAAGGTTTAACTCGTGATAAATATGGTAATTTATATATTGTGGATTGTGGAAATCACAGAATCCAGATGTTTTGTCCAGATGCTGTGTTCGGTATTACTATTGCGGGTACAGGAAAAATGGGCAATGCAAGTAACGAACTAAATTTACCTCGTGCTGTGGCATTTGATTCCGACATGAACTTATATGTCACAGATACATATAATTATCGCGTACAAAAATTCAATAGAATACAATAGGAACATAAACATTTATTGAATATATTTTCGAAAGAATCTTCATTACTTTAATGTAATGTAATTATTTTAAGAATAAATAATCCATTGAAATGAATTAAAGCCATTGATGCATTAGAAGACCTGGGGTCTTCTATTCTGTTTTATCATTCACAAGCTAGAATGGGGGTCTTCTACTACGCCCCTAAAAAAGTCATATTCTTTGATAGTCTAAACGACAATTTCTGGTTTTTATGCTTTTTTGCTCCATACATTGTCAGTAAATGAGTTTGTTCAACTTAATTGATTCTCGTATGATAGGAAATAACCAGATAATATTCCACTGAAACAATCGAGTCGCATTCATTTAGCCGACAATCACTTCACCGACCGATTGTTTCACCGACAGGTACCATACACCGACAGGTACTATTCACCGACAAAAAGTCAAATTTAAAAAAATTTAATATTTAATGGTACTGCAGTGTTATTCAATTTTATTTTTTTTTTCTTTTCTGTCATCGGTTATATTATATAGATGACGCATACAAAATATACATATATATGTACATCTTCTCTTTCTTTTTCTTCGTCACCTCATGTGTTTTCCAACAATTTTGCCTGTTATGACCTACATCTTCATCAGATGTGATCATAAGGATTTTTCCCTTTCTATCATATGTGTGTGAAGACTTTTTCCTTACCTGTCATATATACATAGAGGTTGATTACGTTATTTATAATATTTTTGTGTGGTTTGCTATGTTTATGTAAAATATCACAAGTTTCTTGTTTTGATATAGTTGGATAGAGTATCGACTGCTCTATCGACCCATATAATTTCTATTTTCTTTTCGTTGATT